AGCATGAAGGTGTTGAGATGCTTGCTTAGTTTACTCTTTAGTAGGACCGTGTTTTCATCCTAAACCAGTATTTTTGATGGATGGACATTGGAAGCTCCCAGGCTTTTGGAAGGAAGATTGGTGAACTGGGAGCTTACAGTGAGAGATCCATTGTATACAGCACAGGCAGCAGCCACAGCCTCTCTTTAGAGCTCACTGCTTGGCTACAAGTCAGAGACAGGAGGGCCTATCTAAGAAAGCAGCACGTAGAAAATGTGCTTCTACAGTGATCTCTTGTACTAGGACAAAACATTCTTGTGTCCCCTTAGCAGTCCTTGGAAAGGGAAACGCTTTATCTGGGAAGCTGTTTGCTCCTTCTGGCCTCTTTGCTTTTGTCAAAAGCGCTGTGGGGCTTTGTTTTTTTTAGTGCAAGGTGCCCTGCAAAGTATTGATGCTTTCCCTGCATCAAAGGTGTTAACACTGCTGGTTTAACCAAGCCAGCCTCATGATTGATAAAACATTCAAAAATACTGCCAATTTCGCCAAGAAATACAGCTCATTAAGTGACATGGCAGATGAAAGCCTTGGGCATTGATCAAATGACGAAGTAGAGCAGCTCTTACACTGAATCCTTCTATTTTCTTTATTTCCTTGTTGCTCATATGAATGTTGCAGACGCAGCTTTTATGCTCTTACCATGCTATGGGCTTAGCTGGTAGGATAATGCAAGAGTGAGCAGTGTGGGGTAAGACAAGTGTGATCAAAGCAGCCCAGTTGAGCTGATTAAAGGTGTCAGCAAAGTGACACCTGTAATTCTGAGGCTCTCCAGTGGAGACACCTGAGCCCCTAGGGTTGTAGTACTGAAGAGCAGCCTTAGAGTGCAGTTCTGCAAGTGTTTTAGAGAAAGATGGGCAGAAGTGCTCCTGGATCTGGTTTGTAGCTTTCCCTTCTGCCACCATAGCTATACATACAGCTATACAGTGAATTGGACTGGGAAATAATAACAAACTAACAAATATCACCTTATCCACAGTTCAGTTTTAACTCACTTCAGATAATTTAATTGCAAATATGAGAGCGGGTTGCCTGTTCTTGTAACAATGTCTTTTTTGTTTAGGATGCTTGAAACTGCAGTGTTGGACCTGTCCTGCATCTCAGAAAATTGAGGTTAACACCAAAATCTGAAGTTTCTATGTTGTTTGTAATACAATTTATAGTTACCTAATTCTGAGTGAGGTCCTGCACGCTGTTCTCATGTTTTGTGGTTGCCTGAGATGAGAAGCTACTTCTGCAAGCTGGCCTTTCTCTTTGGGTGGGAGAGGGCTCTCTTGGGTCATTTCCCTGTATTTAGTGTTGTCTCTTGTAACCTGCATGAGCCAGAAGGTGCCTTCTGGTCAGGATGATACAAGCAGTAGCACAGCATAGTACAGGGCATAAAAGCTGATACAGAATGCAGATTTCAGAGTAAGAATGTCCTCACAAATTGTTTTACTAATGTGCATCAAAACAACAACCTCTTCTAAATTGCAGAAAACTCACAACTAATTCAGGGAATTTAAATAGTACAGTGGATATTTTAACAGGGGAGTGGACAAAACAGAATATTTAGAAAGGTTTCTAAAAGGTAAATGGTTTTTATTGTTTAAAGACTGTGTTTTTCCTCATTCCCTCTTAGATTGTCTTATTTGGCTTAAAACATCTTTTGTAAAGGCCTTTTTTTCAGTAGTAAGGGCTAGACTTCCTGAGTCCTCGCTGATATGTGTGTGTAGTTATCTGGCAGCACAAAAACTTTGCAAGTTTTCTAATGGTGGCAAAACTAAAATGAGGTTGGTATGCTAACTAGCATACTCCAGTTTTTACTGAATTTATCTGAATGTTGAAAGCCTGCTGAGAGACCTAGAGCAGTTTGTTTCAGAAAGGAAAAATCCATCAATTCTTTTAGGAAGTGGAAATGAACTAAGATCACAGCATATGAGCAACCTTAACTGTACTCCATTTTTTTCCCCCTTTTTCTTTCCTTGAAAGAATTTAAATGATATTTCATGATTCAACACTAAATTTTATTAGTAAAATGTACTAATAATCTATTACTGTGTTTAATTCTCATCTTGCCTTTAGGATTAAACTTGGAATATCTTGAAGCACATAGTTCTAATAACTAACTCTTACTTCTTTACAGATAACTACCCTTATCAATCATAAGGATAAACCAAAGCGTTCAGACAAGACTCTGCAAGCAATCCAGAGAGTGGGCCAAGCAGTTAACTTGGCAGTTGCAAGATTTGTAACTGTAGGCGAAGCCATAGCTGATGAAAATCATGAATTGAAAGAGGAAATGGATGTTGCTTGCATCGAGGCCAAGAGAGCAGGTATGTTGTTATTCAAGTAATTTGTAACCTCTTGTGTTTATGCTTCTGGTTCTCAGTATGTTTAGGAATAATGTAAGAAATTCAGCTGGTTGTTTAGTAACAATCCTTTTGACTCTCTTTTGCTGGTTCACTTGAGGCTTGATTTGTCACCTAAACTTGTCACTTATATTATGAGGAGGGGATAGGCTTGTGTGGTAGCTTTTATGTGATCTGCTGCCTTTGTCTGACTTCTTATTCATAGGGCTGCACTGATCTTGAGCTGGGAGGACTAACCTCTCTTGGACCCCTTTGCCTTCTAGGGTCCTAACCTGCTGGATTCCTCCAAGTAGGTCACAGAAGAAGTTTGCTCTCTTGGAGTCCTATGATCATACATATTGTCCTGCTTTCTCCTCATAGAAGCCTATTTAATCTTTGTTTTAGCTAATTAATTAGATGCTGCCCGAAAGATAAAGGGAGACATGAAGAGAAGGAGAAGTCCTAGACATCAAAGTCCTAGACATCAAAGATACGATCCATGCTAAAGGATTCAGACCATGAAGTGTCTTAACTACAAACCAAGGTCTAGAGTCTTTAAATTCATTGCATATCCTGCAGAGGCTTGGGAGGAAGCTGAGCCTCACTTTTGCAGGATAGTCTGTAAACTGGTGTATTTTAGACTTGTTATGGTACTTCCTTATAATAAACATTGTTTGTCTGAAATAAAACAGAATTATCAAACACACACTCCCAGCAGGTCTTGTAGTGGGTCTTGTAACACTATTTCTGCATTGTATCAGTGTTACAAAGACAGTTTAGTAGAACATATCTCGAAGAAATACATTTCTAGATCCCTATCTTTTTTTTCTTTTTTCAACATAAACAAAAAATGGTTAAAAGAGAAAACACCTGCCACAAATAAATTAGTACCACTTTCAGTGTTTTTGCCTGTTGAAGGTTCTAAACGAAAGATATGGAACAATAAACATCTGTCTTATATTTTTGCTATTTATTCCTTTAAGGAAGGAATAAGGAATAATTAAAAAAATACGAAAAAGCATCAATTTAAAAACAATAAATAGAATAATTTCTGTTGGAAGGGACTTTCTAGTGTCCCTTTTCAGCAGATCCTGTTAAAGCATGAAACTCGGGCCATTGTCCTGTTGACTTCTAAATACCTGTAATGTGCAACTTCTCTACATGCTTCTCTTCTGCAGTGTTTGACCACCCTCATGCTGTAAAAAGCCTTTTGTTTTATTTTGACAATTTTTCCTGTGATGCAACTCCATCACTTCTGCATATTACTTCTTATTCTGTCAGCAGGCACCTCTGAGCATAGTCTCTGACTTTTCTCAAAGAAACATGTTCATGTCTTCTCCATCCATGCCCATTGGGGTAGCTGTAGAAAACAGTAAGCTCTGCCATTAGTCTTCTCATCTTAAGGCTGAAAAAGCCTTGTTCCTTCAAAGTCTCCTCTTATATCACGTGTTCCACTCTATCAGTGTCTGTGATGGGCACTCCCAAGTGGGACACTACTCCAGATGCTGCCTCCGTTAAAAGGGAAAAATCCCTTCGTTCAACCTGCTGCCTACCCTCCCGCTAACAGTAAGGCCAGCACCCAGCTGCCTGCTTTTGCTATCCCTTTTTCAGTGGCTAAGGAGACAAGTTCTTTTTGCATTTCCCTGAAAAGGCTCCCTCTAGGCAATTGACCCCAGCCTGCTGCATGGTGTTATGTGGTGTTGTGTGGAGTTATCCTCACCAAGACACAGGATGTGCCTGTCTTGATCTTCAGGAGCTTCCTGGCAGACCCTTTTTCCAGCCTGTCTAGGCCCTTCTGTCTAGCAGCCCTGTCCAGCAGATTGTTGTTCACACTCTTGCTAAATGTACATGCCATCCCAATGCCCAGCTCATTAGTGAAGATGATAAACAGTATGGGCACCCTGCCAGTCCCTGAGGGGTGCAGACAGTAACTGACTGCCCGTTGGACTTTGTACTAATCATTTGAGCCCAACAATCCAGTCAGTTTTCTGGGCACCTCCTTGTTCACTTACACAATTCATCTCTTTCTACCTGGTTATAGGAATGCTATGGGGGACCACGTCAAGGCCTTGGTAAAGTCGAGATGCGCTGGCTTTCTTGTCCACAGTGGGCATCTCATTGTAGAAGGCATTCAGGTTGATCAGGCACTCTGTGTGCTTGTAAGTTCATGCTAATTCTATTCCATTGCTTTTTTTCTGCTTCCTGTGGAAGCAGCTTCCAGTATGATTTTTATTAATATTCCTGGTGTGAGGATGACTGGCTGTAATTCCCTGAGTTTTCCTCTCTACCCGTCTTGAGGATAGATGTGACAATTGCATTTTGCATTGTTGTAATTCCTCTCCCAGCTACAGTGATCTTTCAAACATGATAAAAAGTGACAGTGAGTTCCTAGAGCTCTGTAGGACTGTTGATGTCGCAACTCTTTATCTTTTCTGATTATTTTCTAAGACATTATGCTGGTTTTTAAAAAGGGGAATCCTTTAGCGTAAGAAAAGGGCTAATGACGTTTTACATCTTTCCTTGGTTACCAAAAGCAGTGCATTTACCAAAAGCACTCTATTTCTGTTGCTTTTTTTCTTTGTGTTGCTACAGCGTTTTATCTTGTCATGTATGTTTTGGGAGGGCAAAGGAAGAGGGTGGGATTAATTTCCAATCAAAATTGAATAATTCCAACTAAGGAATGGAGTGACCAGAAATTAATCTGATTACAGGGAAAGTAATGACCAGTCTGTTTCAACATTAAATGTTCTTTTTACCCAACAGAAGACTTGTCTTACAACTTCACTGTGAGTGTATATGACTGCAAATATTCTTGTGCAGGTATTAGTTAGACTTTCATAAGTTTTCTTGCTTCTATTTAGACCCTTCAATTATGGAAATTATTTTATCAACCATCTCAAAGAGTATGCTCCTTGGTAAATCACATTTAAATACTTCTAATAGAGAGACTTTCTGATTATGAGTAACCTATTTTCGTCCGAATATCTATGCAATATCTATTCAGATCTATTCCATCTATCAATCAATTCTGTTAAGAGATAGGGAAGAGATTAAGATTAGGGATTATAATGGTCACAGGAATGAAATCTGTACATGAACTACATAAACAATATGAGTATATAGTATAAGTGCCACAAATTATAGGAATGCTAACTGGAATTTGGAAAATGAAAGAAAAGTTGTAGCTTTTTTTTTTCTTGTTTCATTTCCTCCAGGCTCATGGTTTTGCCCATGTGGGCATTGATTTGACTTTTGCTATTAAAATTGGAAAAATGTATCCCATGTGTATATGAAACAATTGTTTAATCCACCAAACATAAGTCAAGTGTGCTTAATGGCCTAGTTTCTTTTTTTTACAACTGTGAAA